AACATATACTACATAAAATTTGTTGATCTTGTATATATAATGTATGTAGTTTATCATCAATGGGGTTCGAAGGAACCTCAATTGCGGCACTCTAACTCCACCCCTGATTACAAATATGTCCTAACAAGTTTAAGACTATAAATTTTAAAGTTCTCTATTTGTCAAATTTCATGTTGAATTAAACAGCGTCAGATAAAATGAAACGAGAATAATCGTTAAGTTGATGATGACAAACCTAGCACGAAGTCCAATGCAAAGTCGATCCCAAAAGTCCATAATAGAGTGGCCAGGCAAGTCAGAAGAAGTAGGAGTCTCCAATGATCCATTGACACAAAGCAAATGCCCAAAACCATTAGAATGAAACACACCATGCATCATATGACCTTCTATTTCTATCAAATTCAACTTACTTTTAATTATTTCTCCACCAATAATATTATTACTATCTGTTTTGTATTTGTATTTTTGTCCACCTCCTCCTTCTACACAAGCTCCAATTGTGTCCTTTGAAGGCAATAGGAAATGGTATTTCTTGTTGCACATCAAATTGTTGCCCCATCCTGAGTAACATTTTGGCCATGCATAAGTACTTGATGAGTTTAACTTTTATATATACACCGATAGTCGATTGGTGGCAGAACTAGTTTTTTCATTAAATAAGTTGAAAAGGTAAATATATGAAGAAATTAAGAGAATTCGATTTATAGTGTATGGATGTCATCATATGGTCTTGTTGAATTAAATTAAGGTAGGTTTAAATGGTTTATGTTAATAAGTCATGCATCAATTCTTACTTTTGTTTTGAACAAGAATTAATGGCTCCATCACTATTGACGATCTATGATAAGTGGGATAATATATAATCAATATAACAAGTTATCTGCTATAACAAATTAAAGTAGTATGTCGATAAATTTTCAAAAGGAGAATTCTACAAGTATTAAGTGAATATGCAAAATACTAAGATGAGGAGAATTGTGCAAGTATAAGATAAAGTCATGCTAAGCAAATTTTTGATTTTTTAAAGTATAATTTTAGTAATTTCACTTAGTATTTGATTTAATTTCACCAAACACAAACCTAACAAATGAAGTTACTAATCACTACATGTTCCAAATATACTATTAATCTTCTTCTCAGTGACAGATTCAGAATTTAAACTTCACGTGAACTTGTAATAATTCTCGAATAACGATGTTACCTATGTATTGACAATGTTTGCAATGAGGATTGAGGGACAATTCAACTTGTTCTTCAACAACAAATAGGAGCACATGCATTGGTGGATGTCTATGAACTTCCAATTGAAATGACCAAATACTCCCATTTTCTTGTTGTGCAAATTCCAAAAGAAGTTTAACATTTTGGTCAAAATTGCACCCAATAAACTCTGTAGGAAACCCTTGTTCACCAAAATTCTTGAACTTAAATAGTACCCTCTCATTATTATTCCTCTTCCTTTTCTTTGATCCGCTCAGATCTAAAGTCGACATCTTCTTCACCATCAGAGGAACCAAAGATAGATCATGGATTCAAGAAAATTTAAAGAGAGTTCGTTACTTACTAGTTACAACTTACCAACCTCTCTCTACCTAGCTAGGTGTTTTAAAGAAAATTAAAAAGGGTAACACACACTTAATTTGCCAAAAATGACCAAAAATAAAAAAAAGTGTCATTCAAAATGGATGGTTTTATTATGTTTGTACAAATATTGGAAAAAATTTATTATGCAAATCTATCGCAGAAAGCAAGAGTTACATGTATGTATTTTAAAAATGGAACCATGCTTTTGGTCATGTTACAAATGTTAAACCATTTTAATTAATTGCTTAATTACTCCCGGCAAATTCTATGGTCAGTTGAGACATGCTGAAAGTTATGTATAATTAGGGTACTACAGATTTAATTAGTATGGAAATTATATTAACACAATGTTACTGGCCAACTATATACTCTGGACATTTTAAAATGAGCGGGATTGATAAATAAAGAGAAATTTTTAGAAATAGCAAATATATAATAGGCATAATAAGGCTCTACAACTATAGTTTTGATAATTGCACTTCATAGCTATAGTTTTGTTTGCTATGAGGGCTGCGATTTTGTATATTTCTGTCCGTTTGTATATTTCGTTTGCGAATATACAAGTAAGTTTATATAAATTATGTATTTCTACATTTATGAATTTTTCAGAACTCTGTTTGTATATTTCGCTTGTCAATATACAAACATGGTAATTTATTATGATTTTTTCACAAATCATATACATAATTCTAGATATATACAATCAGGAACTGAATTATACAAATTCTGAATTTATACAAATCAGGTGAATAGCAAGAATTGAAAAAATTGTAGCCGCAAATTACAATTTTCTTAAACTGTAGTTATAATACCTAATATAGGCTAAATGTTTGCTATTCTGCATAATTTTCCCATAAATAAATGGGTCATTGACTGTCCAAAAGTTATTTGGATTGAAATTAGTTGGGTTGAAATAGGCTAATAGCTTATTAGTAGTGATAATTTTCTTAAAGAAAATTACGTATATATACTGTTCGATCAACTAATTTATTAGTATAGCCAAAATATATACTATATATAAGTTGTGTAGAGGTGTATACATATACATTATAGTGTGTATTTTGGCTATATAAACTTATAAAGAGTTGCACAATTGTATCAAACTTTATGTATGAGCTAATATCAATGTCACACTTAACTAGCTTAAATTCAAACTATACAAGCAATATGTTAAACTTCTTATTTGAAATTTGACTTCATAATCCCAACTTTATACTCGTATATATAAAATTTGTAACTTCATCCTCGTTTTCTACTTTAATCCCAAAAATTTGAAATTGATTTTAAAAGCGGCTAAATATTAAATATTATATAATTTGGCTATATCTTAAATAGTGATGAGTTTCAATTTTGACAATTCATATTTGAGATATTCAGGTGGAGGGCTTAAAGTCTATCAAAATTCAACTAAAGTTAAATAAATTTAAAAAACCAATTAAAGTTAAGTTGCACATCTAAAAGCAACTCTATTATTATTTACGTTGATTTTGAATAAAAATGTATATTTCACGCTTCAAATAGAGATCTTTAATTTTTGTCTTTTAACAATCAAACTTATATTTCGTACGATATGAATTCTTTAGAAACAATAATCACGTCATGACATAACTTATGAGATATTATGATATAAAATATAAACTTACGTTTTACGAAAAATTCTCTATTACGAGAGACAAAAACTAAAGACGAGCCCAAAAGAGAACCTAAGTGCAAAATGATCCTCTTGATTTTGGCCCAAAGTTATTCTCGTTGGAGAGGCCCAACTTCAAGTTTATGTCACACAGTCACAGTCTTCTTTCTTCGTCTCCGGCGAACTTTGCTTCTCTCCGACCAAAAAAAAAATCGACCGGTGAGTTCCCTTTTTCTCTTTTGGCCTAATCCCCCAACCCCCAATGAGTTGTTAATCAGTATTCTGAAAGTAGAAAATGAAAAAAAAGAAAAAAAATGCCTTAAAAGGTGCGGTTTTGCTCATTACATTGTTGATTTTCAGCATGTTTTTTAGTGGTAAAACAAGAATCTGTGAACTGAGGATTTTTCCCTTCTGGGTTCTTTTTGTTACTACATAAAGAGAGAAATCACCTTCAATTTCTGGCTTTCCCTAATTAATATGCATTTTTATTAGCTAATTGGATGGTTATCCAAGTTATACTACGAGGTAGGGGTAAGGTATGCATATATTTTCCTCTTTTTCTCCAACCCCACTTGTGGGATTGTACTGGGTTGGGTATGTATTAAAGTTATGAAGATTACTCAGTAAAAACACTCATGTTTTGCCTATTTTATGACAAAATGATTGTTTTCTATCACTTGAAGAAGCACTTCCTCTGTTTATTTAGTGCTCAGTTGTTACTGTTATTGGAGTGGCTAATGATATTGGGAAACAATTGGGTTATTATGCTTGTTGGTGTCTGGCTTTCTTTCTTAAGCTATGGTATTCTTTGGCATGCTGTCAGCACTCAGCCAGACTGTGCTGTCATTGTCTTACTGGGGTTCTTGATTTCTTTGGATTTTTTCGCCTTCTTTTTTCGATTTCAAGTTCTTTTCTTATAGACGGCCGTAGAGGTTTTAGTTACTAAGCTGTGGATGTCTGAATTGCTCATGTGAAACAGAAATACTGATCTATTGTGAATGCGGATATTGAGTTGATTGGAGATAATAGGATAATAAAGTTAATTTTATTCCATTGTGCTGACAGCATATTCCATTGTGCAATTGGATTAGACACAAATTCTTTTCTATCTTTACTCAAATCTGTATCTGGTTTTTCATACTGTAGCTTTAAACACCAGAACCACGTGTCTTTGATTGTGAGGGGGATGTGACCTGAGGAAATGCATGTGACATGAATTCTTCGGTTAATTACTGTTGTACGATTTCATGTTCAGTTTTGCTTGGATAGATAATTTGTTTTCATCGTCTTGGAATAGATAGCTGAGAGACTAGCAAGCTGATCCGTAGGAGTGATTTTGTGGGATATCGAGAAAATGTACTTTTCCGGAATGAGTAATTTTGTGGGATAATTGACAAAATATGAGTGATTTTGTTGTTGCAGAAAGAACAAAAGCGACTGAACTGAATAATTTTTCCATAATTTGAGTGACCATCCATCTAATTAACACTAGTTAGTATTCTGAGATATCCTTAATAGAAAAGGAAGAAAACAAGGAGTTTAAGGACATAAAGGTGTAATCTTTGTCATTATATTACGGGTTTTCAACATACTCCTAATAGTAACACTAATTCTGAATTGGGGTTGTCATAGTCACTGACTATTATCACTGCATAAAGAAAGAATCAAGATGCTTATTTATGAGTTTTTTTCAGAAGTTAATTTTGTATTCTTATTTACTTCCCATGTTAGTTACTCTCAAACCTTCTTAATATTAGAAGAAAAAGGATAAATAGTCTATATAAAGGTCTATTATTAATCAATTTATTGTGCAAACTTTTAGCATGCTTCGTAGTGGTAGAACCTGAACTCTGAATTGGAGTTGCCGAGCTCGGTGTCTGCTTTCACTGCATAAAGAAATTAACTCCAATTTGTATGATTCGTTATGATATTTTTTACAAGTTAATATGTGTTTTTATTTGGTTCCTATGTTAATCTGTTTACAGATATTATTTTTATATAAAAAGAAGAAGAAAAGAGTACTGACATAAAAAGTGCAATATTTATCATTCTATTGCAAGTTTTAGCCCCTTAAATTGAAATCAACTCATATAGCATCCTTTTAATTATTCATAGTGATTCATACAACCAAATTCAATTTCCCGCCATCAAACTGTAGCATCTGAAATCCATGAATTCAAAATAGCTCTAATATCTGTGTCAGTGTCGTCCATTCCTGAGGTAAGGTTAGCATGGCAGAAAACTTAGTAAAATATTTTTTACAAATGAAAAAGAACTTACTAACTAATCTCTAATAGTATTTCCTTTGTCAGCCAACATTCAGCATGAAATAAAGAGCTAGAAATACTACTTGGAGAAAATGATCACTCTCCAGAAGTTGAACTTTAGGATGACAGCTTTCCCTTATTCTTTGCTTCGGTTGTTTGCTGTCAATGGTGATTATATAGTTTTCAGACACACAAGTCAGTCTGATTGGAGTAGTAAGAATGTCAATCGGTCAGTGGGCTTTTTTTGGGGCAACATAGAGATTCAGGGTGGAGTCGACCGCACTGTGTTTGCTCAGACTGCTCTATTTTCTACCATTGCTGGGACAATCCTTGTCCAGGCTCAAGACCTTGGTAAAATGTCTGAAGAGTTAGAAAATGATATTGATGAAAATAAACTTGATGATGCATGGGCTGTGTATGAGAGGCACATGCAAATGGAAGGGTTTCCTAGAAAATCAATTGTTAATAAACTTCTAGCAGCCAGTGCTGAAAGCTCAGATCTTGGACAGCTGGACAGGGCTTATGGCTTGGTTGAACAAGCATTTGAGAAGAACAAGCATGACTTGCTTGAGAGGAATACTCTTATATATCTCTCTTTAGCTTTTGCCAAATGTGGATCACCTATTCCCGCATCTACTCTTTTAAGGAAGCTTGTGGAAACAGAGAAGTATCCACCTGTGAGTGCTTGGTCTGCAATCCTGGCTTATATGTCACAGACCTCTACTGGATCCTACCTTGCTGTTGAATTGGTCCTTGAAATAGGTTACTTATTCCAGGACGGAAGAGTTGATCCCCGTAAAAAGAGCAACGAATTTCTGCTTTTCATGAAGCCTAATGCCACTTGTTTCAACATTGCTTTAGCTGGATGTCTTCTGTTTGGAACCACTAGAAAAGCAGAGCAGCTTCTCGACATGATGCCTCGAATCAACTTGAAAGCTGATGCTACTTTACTAATCATAATGGCTCATATTTATGAGAAGAACGGACGAAAGGAGGAGCTCAAGAAGCTTAAGAGAGACATGGAAGAGGCCCCTAATGTGACGGAGATGCAGTTTCGTCAGTTCTATAATTGTTTGCTTTCATGCTTTCTGAAGTTTGGAGATCTTGAATCTACATCCCACATGGTTCTAGAAATGCTTCGCAAGGCAGTGAAAGCTAAAAATTCTCTTGGTATAGCTAGTTTGCTTCTTGAGGTTTCTAGAAGTAGCGATACATTGTGTTCAAATGTTCTTCCTGAGGATGCCCATCATCGAAAGCCAGATGAATCAGAAAGTTTAGTATCATATGAAGATCTCTGTAGGGACAGAAAGTTTTCAAAACTGCAGACCATTGCTAAAAACTTACTTGATGTCTTGGTAATTAAGTTGCAGAAGCAAATTGAATTTATTACAACTGAACATGGTATTCTCCAGCCTACTGAGAAATTATATGTTAAATTGGTAAAGGCTTTCTTAGAAGCTGGGAGAACAAAAGATCTTGCAGAATTTCTAATTAAGGCAGAGAAAGAAGATTCTCCAGTTTCAGTTGATGATTCTGCCTTGGTTCATGTGATAAACTCTTGTATTTCACTTGGATGGTTAGATCAGGCACATGACCTTCTGGATGAAATGCGATTGGCTGGTGTTAGAACTGGTTCTTCTGTTTATGCATCTCTTTTGAAAGCATACTGTAAAGAGAGTCGAGCGGGGGAAGTTGCATCACTGCTTAGAGATGCTCGTAAAGCTGGGATTCAGATAGATGCAAGCTGTTATGAAGTATTGATCCAGTCCAGGGTGATACAGAAGGACTCTCAAGGGGCCCTTGACCTGTTCAAGGAGATGAAAGAGGCTAAGATACCAAGAGCTGGTCATCAAGAATTTGAGAAATTGGTGAAAGGGTCTTCAGAAGGAGGTGAAGCTAGTTTAATGGTGACGCTTTTGCATGAAATCAAGGAAGGGCAAAAAGTAGATTATGGAGTTCATGACTGGAATAATGTAATTCACTTCTTCTGCAAAAAGAGGTTGATGAAAGATGCCGAAAAGGCTTTTAAGAAGATGAGGAGTTTGGGCCATTCTCCAAATGCACAAACTTTTCATTCCCTGGTCACAGGTTATGCTGCCATTGGTGGAAAATATGTCGAGGTGACGGAAATATGGGGTGAAATGAAGTCTCTTGCTTTTTCTAGTGGAATGAAGTTTGATCAGGAACTGTTAGATGCTGTGCTTTATACATTTGTTAGAGGTGGTTTTTTTGTTCGAGCAATTGAAGTCGTAGAGATGATGGAGAAAGGTAATATGTTTATTGACAAGTATAAATATCGCACCCTCTTCTTAAAATACCACAAAACACTCTACAAGGGGAAGGCTCCAAAATTCCAGTCAGAATCTCAGATGAAAAAGAGAGAGGCAGCATTGAACTTTAAGAGATGGGCTGGGTTATGCTGAAGATTCATAGTCTATAGCCTCAAGTATATTACCCTTCAATACTGGAACTTGTTGCTCTGGTTGTTCCTAAATGGGTCGACAGTGAAATGAATGGATCTCCATGTTGATCCAAATGTTTTCGACCCATCACTTGATGCTAGCAGATCAAGACATTTCCATGGATTTCATTCTTATTAATTTCTGATCATTCAGTTCCTTATCATCATAAATGCCTTGCAAAATAAGTCATATTGATGAGATGCATCATACTTTCTCTGTGCGTGCTTTTAAGGAAACATATAATGGCTGATTTTTTTGAAGGTCAGTCTCCATTGCTTATAATACTGCGCTGTCCTCAACATAGTATCCGTTATGAGTAAAGTTGTGCCTGAAGATCATCCATTTATTTGTGCTCTGGAATGATTTTGAGAGGTTCAGGGTGAAGCATTTATTTTGCTTTACAATAAGAAATTCATCCATTTAATGTATGGAGGCATTAATCTTCTATTGAATGGCTTAACACCTTAGGTGCCTGCATTATTCAACATCCAAAAGAAGGTTTTAGTTTCTACTAAAGCGGTGTATATAATTGCACCGTGACAGACCTGCTACTCATCATGATTCCTTTAAGGGAACCTTCAACATATACGCAAAATTGCTGAAATGAAGTATTTCGGTGAGATAATTTTGCAAGCACAAATTTTCTTTTTGATAAAGGTAAAGTTGTATTCCTCAGCAATGAGGGTATGCTGGCAACCACCAAAAAGATTTACATCACTGACCCAAAAAAACCAACTCAAGAGAGCTGCTACTAAACTTGTAAAGAAGAAAAAAAAAATTAAAATCTGTCCAGCATCCTCTATACCCTCCTCTTTACACCATAAAAAGAAAGTTTTCATAGAACGCCATTTGATCTTTTGCACTGATTCTGCAGTATTTTCTAGACACCTCTTGTTTCTTTCTCTCCAAATAGTCCACCATATACAGGAGGGTATCATGTTCCACCATTTCTTCTGGCTCTTACTCCCCCCACCCAGCAACTAAGAAGGTCTGCAGTGTACTGACAGGTAAAGCTCTCGAACCTCATTACTGCTGGAAACTCTATTTGTCCATAGTGGTTTACATAACGACTTTCCCATTACTTTAACAAGAAATAAAGACCTTCAGATTTAGATGTTAACATTTGTTTCTGGAGAATCTAGGTAGGTCTCTATTCTAGAGGTCCAATAAACATGTAACATGTTGAAGCTTAAATATTATGTTGAGTATATGATTTTTGCGCATTTAGTTCTATGTCTGTTAGTTTCAGGATGTGCTTTCAAGCTCATATGATCTTTAAGATGAAGTCTAAGGTCATTTTTGCTTTGTTCTATGTGTTCTTGTGAAAAGATTAACTTCGAACATGACTTTTCACTTTTGTGCTTTCTTTTATCTGTTCTTGTGAAAAGTGTGACTGAGAATTATGTTGCTTCCTATGTGTACTGAAAACAATTATTGATATCAAAACAATGATCCTTAGTAGTTAACATTTACATTGAAGAGTTTATGTCAAAAGCTAAAAGATCAGTTTTTTATTATAAGCGTAAAAGTTCGATGGTAACTTTGCTACTGAAAATTGAGAGGAGCCATCTGAATATCAACAGAAGAAAGGCTAGCTCAGACTTAGAGTATGGGATGGGATACAATTAATTAGTTTATTGTTGATTGATAGATTTAGAAATTATTGCCCTTGAGAATAGCATTAGAGAGAGGCCTAGGGGTTTGTTCTAGTGGTAAGAGCTTAGTGCACGTCACAGGTTCGATATTTAAGTGGAGAAGGGTAGAATGGCGGGATCATTATCACCAAGTTTCAAACTGTGCACCACTGGCTCTCAGGATTTCTTGGTTATAAAAAACAAACAAAAAAATGGTGTAAGAGAGACATTTGCTCAATTGTTAGTTCATTGCTTTTTGGGTTAAACAATTTTCTTGTGGGTTTCTAATATTGGTTTCAATGTCGAACAAGTTGGGTCAAAACAAAAAAAAGACCTTTTTGCTTCATATTTTTCAACGAACTAAACTCCACAAAAATCCAGCACAGTTTCTAATTTGAACACAGCGTACTGATTCTGGTGACTTTTGATTAAATAATATTATAAGGATGTAAGTAAGACCGACAGATTTGAAAACTTTGAGCCTTATAATTTTAACATGAAAACTTCCTGCTGATAATTGTCACTTCCTCATTCACCTGTCTACATCTTGTTTATCTTCTATTGCTTTCAGCTTATTTCTTCAGGGGTCTATGGGGCTGAGTCGTTTCTTTGCCATTCCTTAAGTCGAGGAGATATCGTTGCAAAAAATGGAAGAAAGAGCTGCTTGGCTAAGATAACTCACTGAATCATGAGGGTTTCCTGCAATATGCCAAGTAGATTTCTCACTGGACTTGAGCACTCTTGGCCTTGTTCGTCGGTGTGTTTCTAAAGCTTTATGTCTTATCAGAATCATTTATGATCCTATCGAATATATTTAAGATTTAGTTCCATCTATGGTTTTCTGCAGGTAAGTCAGTTCGAAACATGATGGCATTGAGAAGATATTGTGAGACGAAGTGGTTAAACATCAAACTGGAATTTGATTTCTCCTAATTGATGTGTAATATGTGTGCACTATTCTAGCTTAGATGGATTCTGTAGTCTAGTTAAACTTTTCCTCCCACACATGTTATGTAAGAATAAGTTTGCTATTTACTTGTTGATTTTTTTGTTTTGTACTATGAAGGTGATGGATTTTTGTGATGTATTATCTTTAGTATAAGTTTGTCATTTTTAGTAAATGTGATTGATTGTACCATATGATAGGCACACGTAAGGGTGGCAACGGAACCGGTAACGGGACTACCGGAACGGAACCGGGCACCACGGGCCGGAACCGAACCGGAACCGGTAATTCCGGAAAAAAATCCGTGTACCCGTCCCGGACCGGTAACAGACTGGACCGGACCGGACCGGAAACCGGGTCCAACCGTTATAAATTATAATTTTTTTATTAAAATTAAAAAATTAGGAACATTACACTTAAAAATTTATACTTTTAAAGTTTTAAATACAAACTTTCAAACTTT